TATGCTGTGTTTGATTTTCACTAAATGTGGCGCTGCGCATTATGAGCAAACATCTCCACTTTGCTTTCATCTCTTCAGATGTAAGTTTGCGATCCAAAGCTTTCCTTTCAGAGAGCAGCTCTCTTCTGGCAACCCTTCCAAACAGTCTTTTTTTTAAATTGTCCCTCCCTTCTTGCTCTGCCAGAAGTTTCTTCCTATTAAAAGGGTTTTCTTTCCTTACCACTGTCACCATGTACTTGCTCATGGGGGGAATCTGATTGTTGGGTTTTGCTGTATTGTTATAGGGTCTGTGGTTTACTAACATAAAGTGACCTCAGACTGCTGTTATGATTTGGCACAGTATATTAATAAAACTGAATAGAATTAATTTTATTAATTCTGAGATGTAGCTTGCTTTTGTATTTTCTCTGAGCATTGCCTGATCTTACCCTGGGGTGAATTTGTTAGGACGTCCACTCCTGAGAAGATTGTGGGATTGAACACACTTGAATGCTCCAGACCGGCAAACTGCCAAAACTACTTTTATAGAGATCATCACACTTTCTGATGATCAGTTAACGAAATGCATTTGATTAGCACCACTTGGCTGCTACGTATTCTTTTGATAATAATACATTTTATTTATAGGCCCCTTTCAGATTTTCAAGGTCACCTTACAGTAACACGTAAACAATACCATAAGAAAAATGTATATATAGCAAACATGGTAGATAAAATTTCATAAAAACAGTCATAAAAGTATAAAGTATGCAAGCAGTAAGGGTGTGCTTACGTTTTCCACAGGACTGCACGTGGACAGGACAGTGTGTTCTTTTTCCAATGTCTGTACATGATTAGGAAAACTAATGGTATTGCTTGCTCTTAAAATATGCTAATCATTAAAATAAACTCAAAATGGCAGAACACGTATAGATTTTTAACAGATTTGATGCTCCAGTCACTATTTCATGATTCCTTGTGCTGCCACTTATCAGTGAAGAGTGATGTAAAGTTAAATAAGTTGTGGTGAAGAAGAAGAAGAAACTCACAGGGGTAAAATGCAGACCACAGGTGAAAGCTTATGCTTATCTTTGGTTACACAGATAATTTTGTATCAAGTAACATAGAATCTCTGTATCCTAATGCCTGGCATTATCGTATCAACATATCGATA